CACTGTGAGACAAATGGTAGGGGTCAGTGATCGGGAAGGGTTCAAACTACCGGGGAAAGTTATATCGGTAAAAAAGAAGTTATACGTGTCCCGGCGTTTCGCTGGGTCACGTCTAGGAATCGAGATATATCGATTTGACGTTAGTAACTATCATATAGGGGAAATTGTCACCTTTGGTGGTCTTTTTTTTGCCATAACTCGAGAACCACTGTTTGAAAAAAAAAACAATTATTTTTGCCTAATTTATTTTTACCGGCAAAACTGTTGATTATATAGAAAAACGTTATATGAACAGATTAAAGGAATTGTAATTTTTAATTTTTTTAAATTTGTTTGAGCAAAATCGGACTAGTGGTTCTCGAGTTATGTCAAAAAAAAACCACCAAAGGTGACAATTTCCCCTATATGATAGTTACTAACTTCAAATCGATATATCTCGATTCCTAGACGTGACCCAGCGAAACGCCGGGCCACGTATAACTTGTTTTTGACCGATATAACATTTCCCGTTGGTTTCATCCCATCCCGATTTTGACTGTCGCATAGTGTAATAAAAGGTTAGATAATTATTCACAGCCGCGGTTTGACGCTCCCTTACAAAAGGTTGCATTTACGAAGGACGGAGAAAGGGGAAGAATGAAATCCCTTAGAGCGAAAATGGTACTAGGAAAGTACGCAAAGTAAGCAATTAGTAGTAAAATTCATTTCGTAAATGGTAAAATATTAGGATATTAAGATGTAACCTCTATTTTTCATCAGCGCCACACGTAACTGGATTTTTTTTGGTGGAAAATACAAATTTACCCTGCAAAGCTCAAACCTTCTTTTTTGGCGACATTTTATAAATGAAAAAGTATGCTGTCAATGCCCAGTCCACAAAACTATCTCGCTTTCGAGATTTTCAAGCATGTGAACACGGCCGGTAAAGCAAATTAAATCAGTTGCTGTTGATAGTATTCGGACGCACATGTTTCTGAAGTGAAACTCCCTAACGGGGTTCGGAGATGTTTGCCTTAAATCCAGGCACACTAAACAGGCAGGAGTATTAGAGCAAAAACAACGTTTACATGTATTTTTATGTTGCTTTTGGTCTCTAAAGCGTCAAAAAAATATTCAGATTTTTTTTTAAGATCAAAGTGTGTCATATGAAATACAAACAAAAATTTAAATAATACAATTTTAAATTCAAAACAAAATAAAAATAGCTGCAATTTCTGACATTTTAGAGACCAAATAATTTGAAGAAATCAGCTGCTCAACTGCTACTACCTTCTCAATATTTAAGACCAAAATTATGCATTCGCATAAAATAAATAGAAAGTTAGGGATATATAGGTTAGGTTAGGTAAGGTGGCAGCCCCGTGTAACAGGAGCTCACTTAGATAATGTAAGATTGTCCTTTGTGTTACCACAATTTGCAACGGCCCACTAAGCTTTATCGTTAAAGCGCCCTGATTCGATTATGTATTTACTAATACGGCTGATCTCAATGCCCCAGAGCTCCTAGGGGCTATTTAGAGAGTGAGAGCCAAAGTACTTCAACCTTAGCCTCGCAAACGCTGGGCACCTAAGAAGGTAGTGTTGAGGTGATTCTACCTCGTCCTCTTCCAGGCAACTGCGACATAAGGGGTCGGGTAGAATGTTCAGCCTTACTGCGTGAATACACCCACCAGAAGTGAGAGCTGTGGCTTTGTGAGTGTGAGGAGTGCCTTCGAACGCCCCGGTCCACCCTCGGCCAAAAGGACCTTGCGATCGCGCATGTCGTGGTATTCGCCCAGCGTTCGCTGAGCTGACATGAGGCCCATCTATCCAAGAGTGTACCGCAAGTGATCAATGGCACGCACGGGTTCCTTCCCTCGCCAGCCACGCAGTTCCCCACAATGTCCCTGTGACCTGGAACCCAAATAAGCCTAATGTTATAACGCTCCTTAGCAGTGAATCTACCGCCTCCTTGATAGCAGCTACTTCCGCCTGGAATACACTGCAGAAGTCCGGGAGCCTGAACTTAGAACTTAGTGCTGATGGAAAGCTCTCGACAGAAGACCCCTCCACCAACCCTTCCATCCAGTTTCAATCCATCCGTAAAGAAGTTCACCGCACCCCTCCTCCAGAAGTCCAGCCCGGCCCACTCATCTAGGAATATAAGCCTAGGTATAGAAGAATGAACAAATTAAAAAAAAAGAAGTTTCAAGATGTGGTAGTTTTTTTAGCTTACGGTAGTAGATGTAGTAGAAAAATTTAGCAAACAAAAAAGTGGAATCTTTTCCACAAATGTGGTATAGTCCGAGCACTGGCTGTTGAGGCAGAGGTGTTAAGTAATGCAATGAACGTGACTGAAAATTGTAGTAGTCACATTCATTGACTAACAAATTTTAACTGCAGGGTTGCAGTCACTTTTTTCACTAAATACTGCAAAATTGAGTCAATGGTCTTTTATGTTATTCATTACTGGTCAGTAATTTTGCAGTCATCGGTGAATAACGATATTTTAAACCAGTCATTTAGTAATAAAAATTAAGAGGTTGACAAAAATAAATTATAACTCAACTAGTAAGCCCGGGCAGAAGTTGTCCTGCTACACTCCGATACATAGGCGGATTACGTGTATCGTAGATATCATAGGTCTTCACACCGAAGCTTGGTACTTGGTAACTCGGTGTCCGGTAATTTTTTCCCATGTATTTTGTTTGTGTATCACTATATCACGAATACCCAGCTCGATGTGAAGACCCATATTATTTTTTACGTTTCATTTGATATAGACATTTACAAAAGGTTATTATTATTGTTCACTACATTTGAAAAAAAAGATCTCAGCTTACGCACAGTGCCGCCTAAGTGGGCATAAATCGAAATATTCGTTATCTGCAATAGGAACTTGTTTGGCATTTTTGTAAAGACAGTTTATCCACTATAAAGAACTTAGCAGACATTTCCCTAAAAAATTAATTATATGCCGCCAGGAAGCCACTAAAGTCGACAAATTTTATACTAAGAATTTTAATAAAAGCATAGCCAGGAGTAAGCTCTTCACAGCAAAAAATGTAAAAAATATATTCTTTGAAATAAAATGTTGGTTTGACATTTTTTGTTTCCATATAGATAGTACAGAATAACAGGAATTAAAATTTTGGAATAAAATTAAATACAGGGTGTCCCTGCGGTGTTCCACAAAAAACAATTTTTTTAAACAAAATTTCAAAAAATTCTAAACTTTAATGGAATGGATAAAAAATATATGTAAAAATAGGTAATCTTTTTATTATTTTCTTAAATAGTACGGGCTTTTAGTTTTCAAAAGAAATAAAAACCTGCTAATTTTGTGCACTTTCTGAAGTAATGCGTTTTTCGCTAATGCATAAAATAATTTCTTAATTTTTTGTCAGTGCCTTGAGGTCTGCACGATTCGTTCCATTTTCAAAAATGAAGTATCAGATTCAAAAGCTTAACCTATGGACAATAGAAGGTTTATTTTTTTTTAAGAGTTGCCGCCTGTTAAAAAATTCGATTAAATTTTTTTTTTATAAGTTAAATGAGTTATTAAGAGATGGGTATCAATCGAAATGTGTATTAACTACATGTAAAGAGTTGCCACCTGTTTGAAAAATCAAACTCCACTTGAATTAAAAGAATTATTTAATTAAAATAGATAGGTATCACCATAAGGGAGTCAGACGAAAGAGGTTTAAGAAGGTTTTAGCTTAAAAATATTACGAATGGGGCTCTCACCTGTTTGTAAAGTCGTATTTAGTTAAACTAAAATAATAATTACGTCAAACCATAGGATGGCGTAATCCGTATCTCGTATATGTTTTTTTATTACAAATACATACATTGTCAATCAGTGATTTGTTCCGATAACATTCCTTTTAAATTACTGGACTCTTAAATTAACTCAGGAATGTTTTTACTCTCCACTTATTTTAACATGCGGCAACCCTTCTATGTGTCATTTAGAGGTAAAGTATTTTCAAAACTAGTTCAATTGATACCCATATTGTAATATCTAATTCATTTAACTTATTAAATAATTTTAATAAAATTTTTAACAGGTGGCAACCCTTTTAAAAAAAATAAAAAATATTGCACAACTACAAGCCAAGCCCTGTCATTTGATACCTCAATTCCGAAATAGAACGAACTATATGTACATACCTATGTAAAAGCCACAAGAACCCAAATTTTCAACTTCAAACTGCATTTACAGTGAAAGTATGAAAGTTATCCAAAAACCAATTTTAGCGTTCTCAATTTTACTAAGAAGCGAATTTTCATTTAAATCCGTCCTTAATTCTATTTTTGACCACATTTTATATGGAAGGGAAGCACTGTGTTACGGTTCAAACATCAGCCAGGGGAATGGATAAAATTGGATGGTGTCCAAACGGTAAATTTTTTATTGCTGTTGATCAGTGTTGCCAGAGAAAAGAGCTAAAAAGAGCTAAATAATACTAATAGTAGCTAAAATGAAGAGCTACGTATTTTTTTAAGGTGGAGCACTTATTGACGTAAGGTTTTTTTTTCGGCAACTCTAATAAAAACAACGAATTTTATAAGTTTAAGTGCTGAACAAATTTTTAAAACCAAAATAAGGTGTATATATTTCGAATTCGTTGCTAATGGCACTTATAACATTTAACTAAAAATACTTTACAAACTATTAAAGTCTGTAATTTCAGATATTTGAATTGAATAATTTTTTCGCAAAATTTTTCTGGAAAGTTTTACTTCCAGCTCTCTTTAAAGGTAAAATTAGTAACAGGGACGGAAATCATTATGGGTAAAATAATTTAAATCAGCATTTAATCATTATTTTATGAGTTTTATTTTTGTCGCTCTAAAATAATAATTATTATTGATTTTTATTTTTTCGCTCAGCGGAAATAATTATTATTTGATTTTTATTTTTTCGCTCAGAGATAATAATTATTATTGAGTTTTATTTTTCCACTTAAAAATAATGATTATTCATAAAATTGAAAAGGCTATACAGACGCAACTTACTGAAATTTTGACGCTTATTCCTTTATTAAGGTTTCGCTACCTCTGAAAAGGATACGGCAGAAATCGCGCTGGTATAGTGTTTAATTTTTTTTAATGATCATTATTCTTAAGTGAAAAAAATAAAACTCAATAATAATTATTATCTTTGAGCGAAATAATAAAATCATAAATTAATCATTATTTTTGACCGAAAAAATAAAAATCAAGTAATAATAATTACTTTTGAGCAAAAAATTAAAACTCAAATATTAATTATTATTTTTAATTTTTATTGGTTAAACTCGAAAAATAAAAATCATTGCAAATTACAGTGGGGCGTACGACAACAAATACGTGGGTATAAATAGAATTGTTTTACGATGAATACAACTTGTTTATTTTTTTGGTTAAAATTTAAAAAAATAATGATTATTTTCCGTTCCTGATTAGTAAGGCATATAAGGATATTGCCGCGCTATCAGAAAAAGGATTTTCTTCTAATTAATTTTTGAATTCTTTAACCTAGATACAAGAGTTTATGGTGGATACACTGTATCTCGAAATTTTCCATTTTATCAACGCTTTAGTTTGGCTTATATATACCAAATACAACTAAAACTTTCTGGAGCTAAAAAAGTGCCAGATAAATTTGAAAAGAGCTAGGAGCTAAAACCTAAATTTCTGAGCTAAAGAGAAAAATAAAGAGCTAAATCTAGCTCTATATGTATAAATACATTATATCCTAGCTATTTCTCCCCAACACAAACATACATAGCGACACGGTATTTTGAAGCACGTTGCGAGAAGCATAGAAAAAATTTCGATGAAAGAAAATATTTTTTTCCGGGTTCGAAAGTATCCTATCTTTTAAGTTGGAACCAACAATATACACCCACAAAAATTGATTCCCCAATTACGAAGTGAAAGACTAAATAGCCTAATTCTCAAATTTTGAAAAAACATCGATGTTTCATCGATGTGTTTATTCCAAACATCGAAAATATCGATGTTGCCAAACATCGATGTTTCTCCCGCTCTACTACCGCTTCTAAATGAAGGAAGACTGATAATTGCTGACAATTTCTGCACGAGTCTTGGCTTAGCTTTTTCGATGAAAAAAAATGTTTTTTCTCGGGTTCGAAAGTATCCTATCTTTTAAGTTGGAACCAACAATACTTCCCACGAAATTTCTTTAAAATCGGTTAAGCGGTTTCGGAGATTAGCGTAAACGGACACAGTGACACGGGATTTTCATATACTTAATACGATTATTAAGCAGCATTTATTTTATATTCATAGAATTTTCAAAAACTCTTACAAAATAACAGATGTACTTGCATATGTACAAACATATACGTATACATACAAACAACCAAAAAATTAATCATGTTACATACCCTGTAGTCAAATGTACTAGTTGTAAACTACCTCACAACTAGTATGAACCACATGCCCAACTAGTCAGCCAACTATATTTTTTCCATGCAAACAACTGGTATTTTTAACATGAGGATGTCCTACGGGATGGCAATTGTCAGATTTCGGTCAGAATACAAAATAGACAGAAAAATACTAGTCCAATTATGGACCAAAACCACTATTTTGGGAGTCGAAAAATAAATTGAATTCATGAATATACAATAAAAAACTTTTGATTAAGTACACTTTAATATATTACAGATAGTTATTTAGCAGCCTTAGATTTTCCAATAATTAGTGTTAAATTTTTTGAGTATTAATTAAAAGCAAAACTAAATACATAAATATTCCAAACTTTCGAACAAAAATTTAAATGCATTTTTCATTAAATGTTATTAAAAGTAAAAGGTTTCAGGTA